CTTAGTCGAGAAGCAAGTCTTGACACCAGGAGAAGTTTGAAAAACTGTGAAGCCAAAAGTCACAGGTTCTCAGCTGTGCAGCTTTTGGGGAGTTAAATAATTTTTCCGAGCCATCATCTCTTTATATGTAAAACTAGAGGTCCGATGCATGAAATTCGTGCAAGCGGTTCGGCCCTCACAGCTGTGGTGTTTTGCCTTGGCCTCGGAGCCCCGGCTTCATCCAGAAGTTCTTCCAGAAGACATCCGGAAGGCCATTCGGCCATCTGGTCTAATTAGCATATTACGCTTTTATTATTATAGATGAAGATAAGTGGCTCTCCTAGAGCTGTTGCAAGAGGAGTATATGAAACAACATTAGCATCTAGTTGGTACTCAGTAAGCAGGAGATGATGCCAGTATTATTATCATCTATTATTGCCTTCGAGGAGCTGAGCATGCTTATTTTATATTATTATTGATTTTTAGAGGAAGGGAGAGGGAGAGAGAGAGAGAGAAAGAAATACCCATGTGAGAGCGGAACATCCATTGGCTGCCTCCCGCAGGCTCTCCACTGGGGAATGAGCGGAACTCCGGGCTTGTGCCCTGACCAGGAATCAAAACAACAACCTTTCGGTTTACAGACGATGCCCGACCAGCTGAGCCACAGTAGCCAGGGTTCCACTTGCTTATTTTGGACACAATTAAGCTGGCAGAGACATGTTCTTCCCAGGAATTCCAACACGTCACCTGCCAAAATTCCCTGGCTTACTACAGTTACTAGTTTCATTGAGGACTGGGGAGAGTGAGCATATGCCTCAGATAAAGATGAGCCCCTCATAGAAAAGAAGAAACGCTGGAAGCAACCCCGGTGCCACACATCAGGTGAATGGCAACTAAATCGGTGCAGGCATGTGCAATGGGATAGCCCACAGTGGTCCTTACGCTGCCAACACGGTTAGAAATATAGAATTATTTTTCTTGAGAAAGAACGAGGCTTACTACATGTTGTTTAGTATAAAAAAAGTAAGTTGGAAAAGGGAAATACAGTGCATACTCAGTTTTTATAAGAAAAATAATATGTGCAAGTCCAGTTCACAGAAACAAAATTCAGTCTGGGAAGTACATATATCAAAATATTAACAGTAGTTACCCGAGTGATAACATTATGGGTAATGATTATTTCTGCTTTCTATTGCTTGTGCTTTAATTTTTCTATAATGACACAGGAAAAAATAAAGTTATAAAAAGGAAGAAAAAAGAGAACCCCTCCCAAAAAGCCTTTGCCTTAGAGAAGAAGTTTGCATATCTGTCCGTTTTGCATTCAGTGAGTGAAAATACTCCATTTGCCCGCTAGCTTTGGGGAATGAGTCTGACCTTCTTTACGGAAATATTTACGGGCCAAACTTAACATCCCAGCATCCAGGTAGCGCCACTGCTGGGAGCATCACCATTCCAGTGATAGTAATTCTCTCCAGGTCTAGCAAGGAAGGTTCGTGTGAGCAAAGAGTGTGCTAAACTAGCAGGACAGCGAGGGGTGCAGGCAGGGCCTCTGGGGCTGGGGCATGGTGGGACACGGACCGTGCCTTGCTGTGTCTTACAGGGTGAGAGGATCACGCTGCTCCGACAGGTAGACGAGAACTGGTACGAAGGGAGGATCCCGGGGACGACCCGGCAAGGCATCTTCCCCATCACCTACGTGGACGTGATCAAAAGGCCACTGGTGAAAAACCGGGTGGATTACATCGACCTGCCTTACTCCTCCCCAAGTCGTAGTGCCACCGCGAGCCCACAGGTACCTACGCTTCTCCTCACTGGTTTTCACAGTCGGCGTGACAGCCCCTCGGTGCTGAGGGCACAGCCCCCCGATGCTGAGGGCACAGCCCCCCGAGGGTGGCTCTTCGGCCTGTGATTGAGAACGGTCCTCAGCTGGGGAGTGTAGACACACCGGGGCCTGTCTTCATGCATACAAACGGCACTTTTCACCCCTTGTTGGGAAATAGTGTCACACCCTTGGTTGGAGAAAAGGGAGAGCTTAAGGAAATTGCTCTGGGGATAAGGTGATGAGAGGGAGAGAAATCGGAGCCTTTATCAGCTGGTCCAGAACTCTGTGCGGGGAGTACCCAGTGAAGCGGGCGGGGTGCCTCCACTGTTCCTACGTGCCATGGCCCAGTCGGTCCTTGTCACCTCATTGGTCAAGGTTGGCTGCAGAAGATAAAGACCCATACTATTCTTTGCAAGCAGAGACCAGGTTTAAAAAGTAACTTCTAGCACCTCTGTGTACACTGGGCTGAAGGAAGGGGGTTTATCACAAAATGTTCGCTTTCCTGAACATTCATTACGAGCAAACTGGTTTTAAAACATGAATTATTCCAAGTCTCCACTTCCCCAAAGCCAAGAAAAATGAGGACCCTGGGCTCGGGAGAGGCATGTGGGCGACTTCCTGCCGGAGCCCCGCCTGCTGCCCCTGTGGGTTGTCGGGAGGAAGGAGAGCAGGCCCGGGACCAGGTGACAGTGGATGGTCCTCTCTCCTCTCCTCCCTGGTCATTTTCTCCTCTCTGACCGCCCAGGGCTGACCCAGGAGATGGGTACTGGCAGGTTCTCTGCCCAGCAAGGTCCACCTGCTGTGATCTTGTGGGCACAGGGTGTGAGATCGGTGCAGCACGTTCTACTTTATATTACAGGGACTTCAACTCGATGTTTTGCCTGACTGTAGCCAAGCGAGACTATTAAACTGACCACCCTGCTCATACTCCTCTCTGGAAGGCTCTTTGCTGAGCCCCCTGGAGAGAATAAAAGCCCAAGGCCAGGCGGCGCAGTGGCAGGTCACTGTTTTTTCCTCGGTTCTGGGTCAGGGCCTCGGTTGCCCAGGCGGTTGGTGGGGCAGGCGGGCAGCTTCCAGTGTGTTCCTTTGGAAGTGACTCTGCAGACCAGGTGGCACAGGTGTAAGTGCCCAGTGGGACCCCTTTATCTCTCCCCCACTCCACTCACGTCTTCCACCCTCCCCAGCTGCACACGATCACAATCTCTCACACACACACACACACACACACACGTGCGCACATCTCAGCTCTCTCCGAACCGAAGTAGACAGCTTCCTCTGGATACCAGAGTCCCGCTCGTCTCCGTTTCAGCCTCTCATAAAAAAAAAATAAAAAATAAATAAAACCTAAAAAAAAAAAAACTACACGTCTTAATCTTACATGCATTGAAACGTCTGCTAACGTGCATAACCCTCTGTTGACAGGGAGCTTCCTCTGCAAAAGGGAGACATTGTTTACATTTATAAGCAGATCGACCAGAACTGGTACGAAGGCGAGCACCATGGCCGGGTGGGCATCTTCCCACGCACCTACATCGAGGTACCGCAGCCCCTCTTCCTGGGGAAAAGCCCGTCGTGCCCAAAGGGCCACGGATTAATCGGGAACTTGTGTTTTGTTTCCTCCTTTCCTCTCACGTCCCCACGTCTTCCCTTTTACCTCGTTTCCTTTCTCAGCTTCTTCATCCTGCGGAGAAGGCTCAGCCCAAAAAGTTGCCACCGGTGCAGATCTTGGAATACGGAGAAGCTATCGCAAAGTTCAACTTCAATGGGGATACGCAAGTAGAAATGTCCTTCAGGAAGGTGAGCCCTCTCACCCGTGCTTCGGGCCTGTTGGGTGGCCCTGATCTCAGGGCAGGTGGCATTGCAGGGCAGCAACCCCTTGAAGATGTACCAGTCAAGGGTGCATGAAGGGCAACTGGATAATTTTGAGATAATTTTAAAAATAAACCCTAGGCTAGTGTCAGGGTTTAACTACATTGAGTTCACTGATTACAGACAGCATTTCTGGAATATTACACACTTTCCATAAACTGTATTCAGTTGGCATTTGTCGAGCACCTAGTGATGTGATAGGCGCTGTGTAGGTGACTAGGTTTTACATCACAGGTTCTGGCTTAGTCGAGAAAAGCAAGTCTTGACACCAGGAGAAGTTTGAAAAACTGTGAAGCCAAAAGTCACAGGTTCTCAGCTGTGCAGCTTTTGGGGAGTTAAATAATTTTTCCGAGCCATCATCTCTTTATATGTAAAACTAGAGGTCCGATGCATGAAATTCGTGCAAGCGGTTCGGCCCTCACAGCTGTGGTGTTTTGCCTTGGCCTCGGAGCCCCGGCTTCATCCAGAAGTTCTTCCAGAAGACATCCGGAAGGCCATTCGGCCATCTGGTCTAATTAGCATATTACGCTTTTATTATTATAGATGAAGATAAGTGGCTCTCCTAGAGCTGTTGCAAGAGGAGTATATGAAACAACATTAGCATCTAGTTGGTACTCAGTAAGCAGGAGATGATGCCAGTATTATTATCATCTATTATTGCCTTCGAGGAGCTGAGCATGCTTATTTTATATTATTATTGATTTTTAGAGGAAGGGAGAGGGAGAGAGAGAGAGAGAAAGAAATACCCATGTGAGAGCGGAACATCCATTGGCTGCCTCCCGCAGGCTCTCCACTGGGGAATGAGCGGAACTCCGGGCTTGTGCCCTGACCAGGAATCAAAACAACAACCTTTCGGTTTACAGACGATGCCCGACCAGCTGAGCCACAGTAGCCAGGGTTCCACTTGCTTATTTTGGACACAATTAAGCTGGCAGAGACATGTTCTTCCCAGGAATTCCAACACGTCACCTGCCAAAATTCCCTGGCTTACTACAGTTACTAGTTTCATTGAGGACTGGGGAGAGTGAGCATATGCCTCAGATAAAGATGAGCCCCTCATAGAAAAGAAGAAACGCTGGAAGCAACCCCGGTGCCACACATCAGGTGAATGGCAACTAAATCGGTGCAGGCATGTGCAATGGGATAGCCCACAGTGGTCCTTACGCTGCCAACACGGTTAGAAATATAGAATTATTTTTCTTGAGAAAGAACGAGGCTTACTACATGTTGTTTAGTATAAAAAAAGTAAGTTGGAAAAGGGAAATACAGTGCATACTCAGTTTTTATAAGAAAAATAATATGTGCAAGTCCAGTTCACAGAAACAAAATTCAGTCTGGGAAGTACATATATCAAAATATTAACAGTAGTTACCCGAGTGATAACATTATGGGTAATGATTATTTCTGCTTTCTATTGCTTGTGCTTTAATTTTTCTATAATGACACAGGAAAAAATAAAGTTATAAAAAGGAAGAAAAAAGAGAACCCCTCCCAAAAAGCCTTTGCCTTAGAGAAGAAGTTTGCATATCTGTCCGTTTTGCATTCAGTGAGTGAAAATACTCCATTTGCCCGCTAGCTTTGGGGAATGAGTCTGACCTTCTTTACGGAAATATTTACGGGCCAAACTTAACATCCCAGCATCCAGGTAGCGCCACTGCTGGGAGCATCACCATTCCAGTGATAGTAATTCTCTCCAGGTCTAGCAAGGAAGGTTCGTGTGAGCAAAGAGTGTGCTAAACTAGCAGGACAGCGAGGGGTGCAGGCAGGGCCTCTGGGGCTGGGGCATGGTGGGACACAGACCGTGCCTTGCTGTGTCTTACAGGGTGAGAGGATCACGCTGCTCCGACAGGTAGACGAGAACTGGTACGAAGGGAGGATCCCGGGGACGACCCGGCAAGGCATCTTCCCCATCACCTACGTGGACGTGATCAAAAGGCCACTGGTGAAAAACCGGGTGGATTACATCGACCTGCCTTACTCCTCCCCAAGTCGTAGTGCCACCGCGAGCCCACAGGTACCTACGCTTCTCCTCACTGGTTTTCACAGTCGGCGTGACAGCCCCTCGGTGCTGAGGGCACAGCCCCCCGATGCTGAGGGCACAGCCCCCCGAGGGTGGCTCTTCGGCCTGTGATTGAGAACGGTCCTCAGCTGGGGAGTGTAGACACACCGGGGCCTGTCTTCATGCATACAAACGGCACTTTTCACCCCTTGTTGGGAAATAGTGTCACACCCTTGGTTGGAGAAAAGGGAGAGCTTAAGGAAATTGCTCTGGGGATAAGGTGATGAGAGGGAGAGAAATCGGAGCCTTTATCAGCTGGTCCAGAACTCTGTGCGGGGAGTACCCAGTGAAGCGGGCGGGGTGCCTCCACTGTTCCTACGTGCCATGGCCCAGTCGGTCCTTGTCACCTCATTGGTCAAGGTTGGCTGCAGAAGATAAAGACCCATACTATCCTTTGCAAGTAGAGACCAGGTTTAAAAAGTAACTTCTAGCACCTCTGTGTACACTGGGCTGAAGGAAGGGGGTTTATCACAAAATGTTCGCTTTCCTGAACATTCATTACGAGCAAACTGGTTTTAAAACATGAATTATTCCAAGTCTCCACTTCCCCAAAGCCAAGAAAAATGAGGACCCTGGGCTCGGGAGAGGCATGTGGGCGACTTCCTGCCGGAGCCCCGCCTGCTGCCCCTGTGGGTTGTCGGGAGGAAGGAGAGCAGGCCCGGGACCAGGTGACAGTGGATGGTCCTCTCTCCTCTCCTCCCTGGTCATTTTCTCCTCTCTGACCGCCCAGGGCTGACCCAGGAGATGGGTACTGGCAGGTTCTCTGCCCAGCAAGGTCCACCTGCTGTGATCTTGTGGGCACAGGGTGTGAGATCGGTGCAGCACGTTCTACTTTATATTACAGGGACTTCAACTCGATGTTTTGCCTGACTGTAGCCAAGCGAGACTATTAAACTGACCACCCTGCTCATACTCCTCTCTGGAAGGCTCTTTGCTGAGCCCCCTGGAGAGAATAAAAGCCCAAGGCCAGGCGGCGCAGTGGCAGGTCACTGTTTTTTCCTCGGTTCTGGGTCAGGGCCTCGGTTGCCCAGGCGGTTGGTGGGGCAGGCGGGCAGCTTCCAGTGTGTTCCTTTGGAAGTGACTCTGCAGACCAGGTGGCACAGGTGTAAGTGCCCAGTGGGACCCCTTTATCTCTCCCCCACTCCACTCACGTCTTCCACCCTCCCCAGCTGCACACGATCACAATCTCTCACACACACACACACACACACACACACGTGCGCACACCTCAGCTCTCTCCGAACCGAAGTAGACAGCTTCCTCTGGATACCAGAGTCCCGCTCGTCTCCGTTTCAGCCTCTCCGTGTGCCCCTGCGGTTACCCCTCCTTTCTTCTTTAAGCTGACCTACCTGTGCTTCTTCCTTTTGTTTTCCTCTCTCTCCTTTTCTTTTTAAGTTTCCCAGTCACAGCAAGCTCATCCTGCCAGCCCCCCCATCTCTGCCTCACCCCCACCGAGCCCTGTCCCCTGAGATGCAGGCTGTCACCTCGGAGTGGATCTCACTGACGGTGGGGGTCCCAGGCCGGCGTCCTCTGGCCCTGACCCCACCTCTGCCTCCTCTGCCAGAGGCGTCTGTCTATTACACTGACCACCTTGCCTTTTTGACAAGGCCTAGTCCCTCCCTGTCCCTCAGCCTCCCCCATTCGAGCTGGTCGGGTCGATCTACCCCCCACTCGATTGTCTCCCCGCTGGCCCTCCCTGCTCCCCACCAAGCCTACTCCCCAGTGCCTGGTGCCCAGACTTCCCTTCACGTCAACGGAGACAGTGGCAGCCACAGGCCCCCTCCAGGCTTCCCGCAGGGCAGCTTCTCCCAGCCTCTGCTTGGGAGCCCTGATAGAGTCATCTCCGAGCTTAGCAACGCCTTTAGCAGCCAGGGCCCGTGGCGAGAAGAAAGCAGACAGTACGAAAGGAAAGCAGAGAGGGAGGCAGGTGAGAGATGCCTGGGCGGACCCACGATCTCTAAGAAGAGCTGCTTGAAACCTTCAGACGTGGTCAGGTGCCTGAGCACCGAACAGAGACTCTCAGACCTCTGCACCCCCGAGGAGAGCCAGCCCAGCCAGGCCCTGGGCAGCCCTTTCCCGGGCAGGGAGGCTGAGCAGACAGAGCCGCGTAGAGGTGGCGAGCAGGCTGAGCGGAAGGCTGCTCGGAGTGGTGTGCGCCAGGTAGGCCTGCAGCATGACGTGTGTGCCTTGGCGTCTCCGTCGGCAGGTGGGCCAGACGTCTCACCCACGGCCCACCTGCCGAGGCCACGTGATGCCAGGGAGACCCACTTGCTTGTCTTGGGAGTAGAAATACCCAGGAGGGAACAGAGGGGTCCTCGATGAAGGTGTCAGGGCTGGGAAGTCGGTGGCAAAAGTCAGGCTCTATTCCGGCCATTTGAGGGGATTCCAAAGACCCCCCTTGGGGCACCTCCTGCACAAGCCCCTGAGAAGGAGGAAGGCCTTCCCTCCCCCATTCCCGCTGCGGAGATCACCTCGGTTCGCTCAGACTAACAGCTGGAACACAGGCTTCGTGTGCTCAGTGTGGTTTGCTTTTGTGTGAGAACTGCTCCGTGGCATGCCGTGCGGCCCCATGGTCTGCGTCCTGTCTGTCTGGGTGCACAGGCCTTTGTTCACTGCGAACAATTGCGCTTTGCTTTGGGAGGAGCGTTCAGGCCCCGCACCGGCCTCACAGGTTTGGGTCCCTGAATGGGCACGCCGCTCTTCACGTGACTGCCCCTCCTCTGTCCGTGTCCGCTACAGAGATTTCCGAGTGCGGACCAAGGTGGCGTTTGGGTGTTTTGAGCGCTGAGACTTTGGTGTGTGTGGGGGAGATAAACTTGGCAATTTGATCACGATTCCAATGTGGCGATGCCGTTCAATACCCCAAAGGTCAACGAAGCCAGGTGTGCCTGCCTCCTAATGTCTCGTGCTTGGGAGTTACTTCCCTTTCTGAGCCTCAGTTTCCCCATTTTTAAAATGGACCTGATAACACCGACCTCAGAGAGAGGTCGGGAGGGTTCCAAGAAGTCACGTGTGAGAAGTACTCACACAGGGGCTGGGGTAGCACATGGTCAGCATTTTGCTAATGAAAGTGACCATCCCGGGTGGCCTGGAGCTGCTTCTGCAACTGAGAACATTCTAGAATGTCTAGCGCCCAGTGGAATTCTTGACGATGTCGCTCCGAACCATTTGTCGTCTGCTGTGTACGATGCCCACAGGAGACTGCTTGATCTCAGACCTGGTGTCCCCATTTCCCTTTAAAGTTTCATTTTTCACTCAACAAATATTTACTCAAGACCTGTAGACACCAGCCTGGGGGCAGGGGGCAGGGGTCACCCATCCCTGCCCTTGAGGAGCCTGGGTCAGCAGCGCCAGGACTGCAGTGATGGAGGTGCGCTTGGAGCCCGCAGAGACCCACACGCAAGTGAGGCCAGACCTCCAGCTCCAGCCAGCAGTGGGGAGGGGGCCGTGTGCTGCGGGAGGGTGGTGTGGGACATGTCACCACTCAGGCCGAGCCTCAGCTAGCAGCCACTTAACCTCCCAGCACGGGCTGCTCCTGTCCAGGCGGTCCCTCCCTTCGGTGGGGCGGGAGGGCTGTGAGGATAAAGTGGGGGTGTGGTGCCTGACACAGGCTCCACAAGGTGGATGTCGCTCCAGCTTCGGGTGTGGGCTGAGGGGCACAGAGCACCTGGGGAGGCCAGGCCCGGCAGGCGCTCCTGGGATGTGTGTTCACTGGGGAAGAAGAGGGTGCGGCCGGTGAGGGACAGAATAGTTCACTGGGGAGACGTGGTGAAGTGGCTGGCGGGACAGAGTTAAATGTCTGACACAGGAACGGTTCTGTAAACATTCCCCCTCAGTCCTGGTGCCCGGAGACCTCGTTATTGTCAGCAGTGAGTCACAGCGACCTGCCTCCAGGCCCAGCACG